ATGTGCAGAAACTCACTCAGATTTTCTCCAGAAATGTGATCACCCACTTTGGCAAAACCCTGAATTTTTCATTTCCCTTCCCTTCAAAAAGATGAAAATGCCAATCCTACAAAAGCTAGTCATTCAGGCATGAACCCAGATCATTTCAAGCAAGCAATCCAAGAATGTTCCCTTCTCCAGGCTCAAGGATTAATTGAACCAACCTCCTCTCCATGGGCGTGTGAAGCGTTTTATGTCAACAAACGTTCAGAACAAGTTCGTGGAAAACTCAGATTGGTAATCAACTACAAGCCTCTTAACATTTTCCTTGCAGATGATAAGTTCCCTCTTCCAGACAGAAAAACTTTGTTCGTAAATTTAGCAAATGCAAAAGTCTTCTCAAAGTTTGATCTCAAGCAGGATTTTGGCAACTAGGTATACATCCACAGGACAGATACAAAACGTTTTGCATTCCTCAACACCACTTCCAGTGGACCGTAATGCCTTTTGGTTTAAAAGTTGCTCCTTCACTGTTCCAAAAAGCCATGACCAAGATATTTGCTCCAATTCTTGATAATGCCTTGATTTACATCGATGATATCTTACTGTTCTCTCCTGATGATACATCTCATGCACAGTTATTGGATAAGTTCCAGCGCATAGTTCAACAGTATGGGATAATGCTTTCAGAGAAAAAGATGCTCATTGGTGCTACAGAAATTGATTTTCTAGGCATGCATCTCAAAGATGGTCAGTACATTGCTCAACCTCATATTGCTCAGTCACTTACAGATTTTCCTGATGCAAATCTCTCAAAGAAGCAGATCCAGCAATTTCTCGGTATAGTCAATTACATGAATGAATTTCTCTCAGATATTGCCCAGCTCACATATCCACTCAGACAAATGCTCAAAAAAGAACCACCCACGTGGTCTCAGATTCAGACAAAAGCAGTACAAGCCTTGAAGATAAAAGCAAAGTCACTTCCCACTTTAAAGATTCCTTCAGATGGAAAAAGAATATTGCAGACAGATGCTAGTGAACAGTTCTGGTCACAATTCTTTTGAAGAAAAAGATGGAACCAGACATATCTGTGGTTACAAAAACGAAAAATTCCAAAGGATTTCGAAACTCCATTATCCTCTACCACTAAAAGAGATTTAGTTGTAAAGGTATGGTATCAAAAATATTTGAAATTTCACCTTATTAGATTCCACTTCCTCGTGAAATTAGAATATGTTCAGCCTTTGAATCAGATGCTCAATTTCAAAAAAAAAATGCCAAAATGCACAGTTACTCAGGCTATCATTAATGGTTCTCACAGTACTCCTTCACCCACCAGGCATATAAAAGGAAAGACACCTCATACCCAGACATGCTCACAAGACCTCCTTCGAAACCGTCCTTCAAACACTTTCTAGGTTATTCAGTCATTTCCATGATGAAACCCACACCTCCTTCTTCACAAGCCTCTTCTTCAACCAACCTTCTTTTTTCCTCTTCTCAAAAACCTCACCTTGATGATGAATTTGATCTACCTGATGAATTCCTTAACCTTCCAGTAGAAAATCTTCCGACAGAGTTACCCAGACTTCTTGCCACTCAAACCCTTGACCAAAAAACCTCACACCTTTTACTCAAATATCAGTCCAAAACACTCAGAAAGTTTGGAGA